CCTTCTAAAGTTTAGCACAGTGCCTGGCCCAGAGTATAGACTTAATGAAAGCTTCTTGACTAGACTTAAGTTGTCTTCCAGCTTAAAATCCATGAACGTACGATGCAGTGTATCCCTGCTATTACCTTGCAAGGTCCTGCAGGTCTTAGCATGGCCTCGGACCTCTTCTTCTTGATCAAGGAAGTCCTCAGCTATCTACTAATTTCTGTTCCACCACTGTCACTCTGCCCTGCTTTTGGTGACTGTCAGGAAAGTATGACAACTTTTACAGTGAAATAAGTAGAATCAATATTACCTGTTAGCTATCTCACACATTTCCAGTTGTGCAAACTTCTGCTAATTCCCTGTCTCAACCAGCTGCCTCCTCCCTTTTTTCTAGCCAAATTAGGGCAGTTGAATTCCATTCAGTTTTTCCTGATCTCAGGGTGTGTCCTTCCCAAGTAGTAGGCACTGAGACTGTTTAAGGCTGGGGTAAAACACCCTACCTCTTTTCCACTGGCTTTTCTGGGTTCCATCATTGCCTAGTAATTAGGAATAAACCACAGAAATTACCCTGAGTAGCTTCAAAAAAGAAATAGAAAAACTTAAGTAGGAGGGACATAGTTGGAAATATTGCTTCCAGCCCTGTTGAAAAGGCAAAATTCCAGGGCCCTGTTACAAAGGGAATGGACTGAGTGATTTCTAAAGTCCCTTCAAGCTTGACATTTCACAGTTCTATTATTCTAGAACTGTATGACTCTCTGCATGATGAGTCCTTAATAACATTCACTGAATGCTTGTTAAGTGCCCACTAATACAAGGGACTATTCTGGTCTCTAGGGATACAGGAAAAACAAAATGGCCCTGCCTTCAAAGAGCTTGTATTCTACTCAATAAATCCTATTGACTGCCAAAGAAACAAAGAGGCTCTCCAGTGCAGGAAGGAAGACTCTCAACTATTCCTATAAAATTTTCCTGCTCTCCTTTTGTCACATAAGGCTCCTAGGAAAAGGGTATAACAGATGACAGTGATAAAATCCCACATTCCAGGGGGAAGCCATGTAGGCCAGTTATTTACTGCTAGGTGCCCAGGCTCTGTCCCACTGATATAAATGCCACAAATAAAACACACTCCCAGCTCAGCAAGCAGCATCTATCTTTCTTGGGGTGAAGCTTGGTAGTTTGGGGCATAAATCCAAATCCCTGCTCACTGGGGAGAATAAACATCTTCCAGATGGATTGGTGTTCATGGAGGTTCCTTTCTCGGGGGGAATCTCAAAGCATCTGGCTGGGGCAGACTCTGTGATATGACCTAGTAGGACTTCTTGTTCCCTCCAAGTAAGAATGGAAACCTGTGACCCAGCCTGAGGCTCCTGCCAAGCCCCATGGTAGGGTACTCATTTGTTTGGCTAAATAGTTTGTTTTTAATTACTCGTGGCAAATGCTCATAATACATTTTGGAAGAGCAATGAAGCATTATTTTTAGGAGATCCTACACACACACACACACACACACATTATACATACATACTCATATGCACATACACACAAACATATACAAAATGCATAATACATACACATACATACATATACACATAAATACACATATACAATCCAATATTTGCAAGGAAGTAAATTGAGCCTGCAAAATAATTTTAGTCTGTTTCTAACAACATTGAACAAAAATGTATTAAGTAAATGTTATGTATAGATCTCCATTTTAAAGACTTGGGGGAGGTAGAGTGTTATAGGGGAGGGAAGGCAAGGAAATTTTTAAAAACTTAAGGCTTTGTCTCTGCTCACATGGAACTTGGAGTCTAGTGGGGAGGCATAACACATGCACTAATCATCATGATATAGAGAAGAAGGAGGAAGAGGAGGAAGAGGAAAAGGAGGAGGAGGAGAAGCAGCAGCTAGTATTTGTATAGCTCTTTAAGGTTTGCAAAGACCTTTTCATATGTTGCTCCTCATAACAGCCCTTTATACTAGGTGCTGTTATTGTCCTCATTTTACAGATAAAGAAAGTGAGTTTAAGAGAAGGTAAGGAATTTGACCAAAGTCACAAAGCTAATATCTGAGGCAGTATTTGAACTCAAGTCATACTGACTAGTGGTCTAGGACTCTTTCCACTATGCCACCTAACTTCCTTTACTAAATAAAATATGACATTAGAATTGCAGTGGAGGCAGCATTTTGTATTGGCTGTAATCCTAGGCTTGAAGTAATAAAGATCTGAATTAAACCCAGCCTCTAAAAACTTCTAGTTCTATGGCCCTAGGCAGCTCATTTAATTACTTTGTTGTTGTTCAGTCTTGTCCAACTCTTTATGACCCCATTTGGTGTTTTCTTGGCAGAGAAGCTGGAATGGTTTCGCCATTTCCTTTTCTAGCACATTTTACAGATGAGGAAACTGAGGCAAAGAGGGTTAAGTGACTTGCCCAGGGTCACACGACCAGTAAGTGTCTGAGGTTAGATTTGAACTCAGGAAGCTGAATCATCCTGACTCCAGGCCCAGCATGCTATCCACTGTGCCATCTACTAAGTCATTAATACATTGTCTTCTGCTTTTGTGGAGGAAGTTCCCACGTAGATATTCTTTATGCCGATGAAGTTATAGATCTTTTGCATATTTACATTCGAGAGTGGTAAAGTAAAATGGGGAGGTTCAAAGGGGTATGTGAATATCTGAATATCATTGCTATTTGTGGAGGGAAGGGAGGCCTTTATGATCCAGAGCTGGGCCTTAAAGGATAAATCTATACAAGATTGGTAACTGTGGAACCAGAGAAGCAGGAATTAGGGGGGGAGAAAGCACTTGGCTGTGTTGTTTTGAGCCTGGGTTTCTTTCCTAAGAATGTTTAGATTTAGAAATCTTGTGATGCCTGGAGCAGAAATCACTTTGGAAATGAAGACTTCTGCTGATCAAAGTTAAACCCAGTCTTCAAGAAGAAGGAAAGAGCAGTGTCTAGGCATTGTTGATATCACCTGAGGCACTGGGGGATGGTATCAGAAAAGATAGCGAGGATAAAGGACCTGGCAGCAGTAGAAGAAGAGATAGGTATAGACTAAAGGCTACTTGTTTTATCTGGATTTAGGGGCAGATAAGAGAAACCAAAGCATGTCTTATTACTGGCTTTCTCCATTTCCTAATCTGTAAAATGGGGATGATAATACCACCTACTTCCCAAGGTTGTTGGGTGCATAAAATGAGATACTATTTATGAAGTGTTTTGCAAACCTTAAAGCACTTTTTGAAATACTGGTTATAATGAAGATGGGACAGGTAGGTGGCACAGTGGATAGAGTGCTGGGCCTGGAGTCAGGAAGACTTATCTTCTGGGGTTCAAATCTGGCCTCAGGCACTTACTAGCTGTGTGACCCTGGGCAAGTCACTTCACCTGATCTGCCTCAGTTTCCTTATCTGTAAAATGAGGTGGAGAGGGAAACAACAAACCATTCCAGTGTCTTTGCCAAGAAAACCCCAAATGGAATCATGAAGAGTCAGATGTGACTGAAAAATGACTGAACTGCAGCAACAATACTGAAGATGAGGAAGAGGGTGATAATCTCCAAGCCATGCTGCATGGCATTGCTCACCTCACATTCACCCGAAAATAGACTCTAGTTTTGGCTGGAGAAGCAATCACACGTTCAGAAGAAGCTTTCCCATGCATGTTGAAAAAAAGTTTTGCTGGTACTATTCATTAAGACACATACCAAGCCATGGGCCCAGGACTTAAAAAAAAAAAAAGAATCAGACCACAGGCCTAGAAGAAATATGAAATCTTTAACCTTTTTTTTTTAGATCCCTTTTGGGTTAGCTTTTCACAGGAAAAACTTTTTACTAGATTGTATTTGGAGATACTCAACACATAGGCACCAAGTTAGTCCTTGTGTTCTCCTAGTCTAGAATTTTACAGAGGAGTACAAAATATGGGGGGAGGGAAGGTGGCTCCAGCTCTTTACAGCTGCTAGCAATGAATAGCTTTTGAAAATCTTACAAATCTCCAAGAGTGAAACATCCAATTGGTGACTCCGCTATTTCGTAGGTCCATATGGATTATCGTGAGGGCACTAAGTGTTGTGTGTTGATCCACTCAGAATTCTTCATCCTTTTCCCTCTTCACCACCTGCACTTTACTATTAAAACCTCCTTTATTTATGTTGATATGCCCAATTTTAATTTACCCATGCAGCCATTCATTTAAGTCTTTACTTAGTATTTATATAATCGTTACTGCCTCTGCTTTTAAGAAGCTTTTCTACTCCATGAAAAAGTCAGAAGTCATGCATATTTTTGTGAATAAATTTGTTTTCATATGAGTTTCAAACCCATTAATTAAACATCCATTAATGGATGTGGCCATTTTTTCTTCAAAAAGTTCCTGAATCACATACATAGAACATCCATTATGCATTTTTTGATGGTTTTAGCCTTTGTAAAGTTTCGTTTTATTTTCTAACAACCTACTGTTCCTTTTCCTACCATCTCCCTCATTCTCTCTACAATCCAGTCATATTGGCCTGATGTTCCACACCATCTCTCCTCTCTGTGCTTTTTCTCTAGCTCTTCACCATGCCTGGAATGTGCTCTCTCTCTCTTTCTCTCTCTCTCTCTCTCTTTCTCTTTCTCCCCCCCCTTCCCTCCCTCCCTCTCTCAATGTCTCTACATGCTGGAATCCCTGGTTTCTTTCAATACCTTTCTACCTTCCATACAAGTCCTTTCTTGATCCAACCTCCCTCTACCCCCTCCCATCTACTCATTCATTTTCATCAAGATTACCTTCTATTTAATTTCTGTTGGCCTTACATCAACCTGTATATGGATATATTGTTTCCTTATTTAAATGTAAGCTTTTTAAGAGCACAGACTATTTTGCTCTTGTCTTTGTATTCCCAACACTTGGCACAGCGCCTGGCATATAGCAGGTATTAAATAGATGCTTTTTGATTGATTGATTACTCGTGCCTTCTGCCCCCAGGTACTAGAGTGTTTAACCCATTTGATTTTTTCTTTCCAGAAGGTCAAGGCTTCGTGAGTGAGGATGAGTATCTGGAGATCTCTGGTATCACACGGGACCAGTCTGGGGAGTATGAATGCAGCGCCTTGAATGATGTTGCTGCTCCAGATGTGCGGAAAGTAAAAATCACCGTGAACTGTGAGTTGTCATTCAAAGCTTGCTCTCAAGAAGTGTGTGTGTGTGTGTGTGTGTGTGTGTGTGTGTGTGTGTGTGTGTGTGTTGGGGTAAATGGGCAAATAATGGGTCAGGGGAGCAAAGAAAGAAGGGGCCTCATCCTATTCAATTTACTGAATGACTCAGGATGGTATCTTCAGTCAAATACCCTATCAAGGTACATACTCCCATATCCAGCTCTGTCTGTATTTTTTCTTGAAATCAGATTGGCTTCTGTAATTCCTACTGAGCTTTCAGATGGGTCGTTTTGTATCTGTGGGTACCAAGTTGTCTCCCTCCCTTACACGCCTTATGAAAGCAAAACATGTTTGGGAAGAATCCATTAAATAAGTATTAGTGTAAATGTAATATCTTTAACAGGGAAATTGTTGTTTGGGATGCTAGATTCAAGAGATATCGTTAGGAAATTATTGGCATCATGGAAGGGCTCCCTTAGCAACTCTTTTATGATCTAACTGTTTACTTTGCAGATCCTCCCTATATCTCAAATGCCAAGAACACCGGGGTGTCACTGGGTCAGAAGGGCATTCTCAGATGTGAAGCTTCTGCTGTCCCATTGGCCGAATTCCAGTGGTTCAAGGAGGAAACCAGGTACCCAGAAATAAGAGATGGGGCTACTTTGAAGCTGAGCAAATAGATCAAAACATCTCTTTTGAGTTCAAGTCCTTTTATTTACCAGTGGGAGTAATAAGATAGGAAGGTGTAGAAATAGCAAAAATGTTCTTGCTGCTGTGGCATCTCCCACAAATACATCTCCTTGTCAAGTTGTAAAGAATTTGCTAGAACTTATGTGTTAAGATAGCTGTTTCATACTCTGTATTCAATGAATTTGTTCAAAATCTCTTATTCTATATAAATATCCCTACCTTTAGAGAAAGAATGCCTATAGGGCCTGAGTTTGAATTGTATCTCTGATGTTTCATGTTGTGACCTTGAGCAAGTCATTTAATCTACTTGGTCTTCAATCACTCAGTCATTTAGCTTTTTATTAAATGCCTACTGTACCAGACACTGGACCCTGAGAATGCCAAAAAAACCCAAAAAACCAGAACAGTCCCTCCTCTCAAGGAATTTATAGTCTAAAGGCGGAGACAACATGCAAAGGACTATGTACAACTAAATTGGAAGTGGTCTCAGAGGGAAGACATGAAGATTAAGGTGGACTGGAATAGGCTTCTTGCAAAAGGTTGGACTTCAACTAAGATTTGAAGGGGGTCAAGGAAACTAGGATGAATCGATAAGGAGAGTGAGTGTTCCCCAAATCAGAGACAGCCAATGAAAATGCTCAGAGTCTAGATATGGAGTGTCATGTGTTAGGAACATCAAGGATGTCAGTGTCACTAGGTCACAGAGTATATTGTGGGGAAAGAAGACTGGTGAGGTAGAAAGGGATGAGGTTAAGAGGGGCTTTATAAGTCTAAGAGAGGCTTTATGTTTCATCCTGAAGGTAACAGAGAGAAACTGAAGTTGATTGAATGGGGGAAGGTGGTGTGTAACATGGTCAGAATTGATCTTTAGGAAGAAAAATTTGATAGCTGAATGGAGAATGGATTGCAGTGGGTAGAGACCTGAAGCAAGGAGATCAATCAACCATCAGGTTATTGCAATAGTCTGGGCATTATGCACAGTTAGCATATGAAGATCCAACAAAGGAGACAGAAAATGACTGGTCAGAAAGTTAAGAGAAAAACAGGGAAAAAGCAGTGTCCCAAAAACCTGGAAAGAAGCAGTATTAAGGAGAAGAGGGTGTTTAACAGTTTCAAAAGAGACAGAGAAGTTAAAAATTATGACAATTAAGAAAAGGCTATTAGTTTTGTCAATGAAGAGACTATTATTGACTTCAGAGAGAGCAAATGAGATGGGAAGCCAGACTTCAAAGAGTTAAGAAAAGAATGAAAAGAAAACAAGTGGAGGCACCCATTATGGATAGCTTTCTCAAGGAGTTAACAGCCAAAATGGAGGAGAGAAATGAGACAATATCTAGCAGGGATGGATGAATAAAGTGAGGTTTTTTTGAGGATGGGGAATACATTTTGCATATTTCAAGGCAGAAGGGAGTCAGCCAGTAGAAAGGATCCATTTAAGATAAGTGGGAAAGTAGGGATGATAGAGGAGGCAATCTGATGGAGCCAAATCACTTATGTAAGGACAGGGGTTTTCCTTGGCAAGGAGAAGGGTCACCTCTTCATGTAAAATGGGTGAATGTATTCAAGTGGCTTTGAAGTGGGAGAAGACATTTGAATGATGAGATGAGGAACGGAGGAGAAGAGCTCTCTGCAAGTGACTTCATTTTTTTTTTTTTAGTGAAATATGAAGCAAAGTTCTCAGCTGAAGATTGGAGACAGAGGAGCTTTAGGATGTTTAGGGAGCAATTAAAAGGTTGGAAGAACCACTGTACTAAATGGAATATAGAAACGATCTGGAAAGTTGTAAAAGGATTGCCTTACCCCATTGAGGACCTATTTGGGATTACATAACAAATGTATACAGGGCCCAATCAACAGGTTTCATGAATTTTTCTGACTTTGTTCCCCAGTGCCTGTAAGTAGGAATGAAGGCAGTGAATGGTAGGACTAATCCAAGGCAAGATCTTTTTAGGATAAAGAGGCAAGAGTTCAACTAGTTCACCAAGAGGTCAAGATGGAAAAGAAAGAAAAGCGTAGTCAGTCCAGGATTAATGACCAGGGAAAGAATTGAGACGTAAGAGGACTGGAGATTTCAGTGAGGATGAAGAACAGGGATTGGCATTGCAAGGCACAGGGAGAAGCAGAATGTCAATAGACTTGTCAGATAAAAAATAATTAGATCTGAAACACTTGTAGGTGATGGTAAGATCAAGGGTATGACCATTTCTTTGTATAGCTGTAGTGAGATGGTGGAGAGGGTTATAATTAGTAAATTGAGGAGTTGAGAATTTGGGGTGTTTAAGTCAGTACCAATATGCAAGTTGGATTTATAGAATGAACAGAGTTGGGAAGGAGAGGATAATGTAGAGCTAGGCACTGTAGTTACTTTGGAGGGAAGGAGAGTGTCTTGGAGATCTGTAGAAAACAGTCACCAGAATGTTGATTGGATAATAAATATGGACTGAATGAAGAGAGGTTACTCAAAAGAGGAGAGGCAGGGGAGCTAAGTGGTGCAGTGGATAGAGCACCAGCTCTAAAGTCAGGAGGACCTGAGTTCAAATCCGACCTCAGACTAAAAACACTTGACACTTACTAGCTGTGTGACCCTGGGCGAGTCACTTAACCCCAACTGCCAAAAAAAACAAAAGAGAGGTTACTGAATGATGGTGGTAGAGGGAGTGCCTAGAAGTACCAATGAAAAGCAAGGAATAAAAATCCTGTGTCATCAGGAGGGAGCCAGGTCTCAGTGAGTACAAGAAAGATAGATGGAGAGAGAAAAGCAAAGGTTTAAGATTGATAGTCAGTTTGTTACCTGGACCTAGCATTGTAGAGAGCAGAGTGGAAGGGTTTGGTAGTTTTAGAGTCAGATATTGAGGGAGGGAGTTAGGTTGAGGGGAATGGGAATACAGGTTTGAAGAACAGGGTTAGAACAATGGCAATTAGGTGTTTAGAATCACTGAGATGGGGTAGGTATTCTGGGGTAGAATTATGCTAATCATTGAAGAATGAGTTCAGGTAGGTTATCCTTATGCATAGGGGTTTGGCCTTGGGTAGAGTTGTCTCAGGGTTTAGGCAGCTGTGTGTATCTCTGGAAAGGGATTAGGAGGGGAGGGACCATGGAGGACGCCCAGGCAGAGACAAGGCATGCATTGTAGAGCTGTAGATGGCCAGAAAGGGTACCTGGAGTGCAATGGAATGGCTGCTTGAGAGGCAGGCATAAACAAGGCAAGCCCTTTTTGGTGGTCCTGGCAACTGATGGAAGGGGATTAGTAGTTAGCCTGTAAAGTTCCTTCCAGTTCTAGTTCTCTGATGACCAGATTTTCCTTTTTGCTCCTGATGGTGGTAATGATGATGATGATGCTTGGAATTAGGGAGATGAGGATGAGGAACAGGGGGGTTTTATACAGGAGGTAGAATTACCACGTGAGTATTTTTAAGGTGGTACCGATGTATCCATAGCTCAGCATCTTTCTGTCTGACTTTTTATTCTGTCTTATAGAACCATATAGATAGTGTCACCCTCTCATTTCAGGTTAGCCACTGGCCTGGATGGAGTAAGAATTGAGAATAAAGGCCGCATGTCCACACTGACTTTCTTCAATGTTTCAGAAAAGGATTATGGGAACTACACTTGTGTGGCGACAAACAAGCTTGGGAATACAAATGCCAGCATCACATTGTATGGTGAGTTCAGAAAATAAGTCTATGTCTCTAGTGGGCGTAGTTTTAGAGCTGGAGAGAGAGGAAGAGGGAGAGACAGAGATAGAGAAAGAGAAAGAGAGAGAGAGACTGAGACTGAGACTATGCATGGCCTGTGCCCCTGAGAGTGAAGGAATAATGAACTCTTCCCCTTCTCTGCTCTCCCAGAGGATTTGATGTTGTTAATAAGATGAATAATGTCGCCCGATCCCTTTGGGAGGTGGTTTCAGTGTAACTACTCTCACTACAAGGCATGCATCTGGCTTTAGTTAACATTCCTCTGATTGTCACAGGAGAAAAGAAATTAAGCCAGCCTCAATGGTGTCTGACTTGCTGAAATGTAGACAGTTATTATGATTGAGAGTTCAAATGCAGTATCATCTAGAGGTTGAGGGATGGGTAAAATGAATTCCCAAGGTCCCTTTGGTCACAATATTCAATGCTTCCAGTGAATTTTCTTTTTCAGTGTTTAAGACAACTTTCTGCTGTCATTTTTATTCTCAATCTACTGGAATAAACAGAGCAGAAACCCAAGTACTGCTACACCCCTCCCCTTTCAAATATCTAATTATTCCCTGAAAGGACTATTTTTTAATATGTAGGGATGTGTACTCCCAAGCCATGAAACCTTTTCTGAAACCTATCACAGCTGTTCCTACTTCCCCAAACATCTCATGCCCATCCCTTTGTGACAATGTCCCCTCAGCTTCTCATTTCATGTGCCATAGGTCCCAGTGTGGGGAATATATGTATGCCATATAGAATTTATTTGTTTGTTTGTTTATCTGCTGAAGTTTGGTAAGAGGGGAGCATCTGGTGCATAGAGCGAAGAGGACATCAACTTTCCATGCTCACCTTGGACCCCTGAACAAGCTTTCAGCATTGACATTAGCTAAACTTTATCCATCAACCATCTCAAATTTGTGATCTATGTCTTTTGTTTCCTCTCTGCATTGTGTGTGCATTGTGCTGTGTGTGTCTTAGAAATAAGCCCATCATCAGCAGTGGCAGGTGGGTACAGCATGTTCCTTCTTCATCTGCCTGCCTTTATGCTGATGCTTTTGAACCTAAGCCTACTTCAGAGCCCCCTTGCCTGCTCCACCCCCCTAACTGATCTCTCTCTAAAGGATAGACTTCAAGGGTCTCAGATTGTACAGCCTGGTAACATTCACTTAAAGTACAGTGACTTTGCCATGCACACATTGGAGATATAATCATTACTTGCCTTGCAAAAATAAATTGGAAGTGGGTTATATTTTTGGTGATATGAGCACCCCTGATTTGTGTACAAGACAAGGGGGATCCAATGGGAGCCCAAAGCAGATGAATGCCTCACGTTGACCTGCAGAGATAGCGCATTGAATTTAGTGTAGCTTCTCCTTGGAGACAAAGATATGTTCAAAGCTTTATTATGAAAAGGCTGCCTTTTCAAAGGAGAGGCTCAGTTGGAATTGGCCTATATTTGGGATTTGATTTCTTCCAATAAGCGCTAGAGTTACTGCTCAGAAGATAAGCAGGGCAGGGTACTCAAGTACATTGCTGAACCCAACATCCAAGTCTAGAAACTAATCTAGTGTAGGAGGTGCTGAGATCTGAATTGTCCAGGGTTGCAGCCACCACCCCCAGTCATTCCTCTGAAATCATGGTCAGCCAAGGCTAACCTATCATCACCAACTATGCATGTCTACCATTCGATACTGCCATCACATTTCTCACCCTGTTTTTGCCACTAGTAGGTATTCTGATCAAGTAGAAACAGAACAGAACTATAAGTCAGGAAATCAGGGTTGGAGCCACTGGCCAGCTATGTGATACTTTAAAAAAATTACTTAATGGAAAGCATTGGATATGGAGTGAAAAGATCTGCATTCAAATCCCAGCTCTCCCACTTATTTGTTGTATGACCTTGAGCAAGTCATTTAATGCCTCTAAAAGTCCCAATAGGCAAGATTGAAATTTTAATGTTTGCCATTAATGCTTGTTTTTAATGCTTTTAGTCAGTCAATAAATATTTATTTAAGTACCTATTATGTGTCAGGCACTGTTCTAAGTACTGGAGATACAGAGAAAGGCAAAAAAAAACCCAGTCTCTGATCTCAAGGGGGTTATAATCTAATGGTGAAGATAGCATGCAAATAACTATGCACAAACAAGATATATATAGGATAAATTGGAAATAGTCAATAGAGGGCAGGTACTGGAATGAAGGGGGATCTGGAAAGGATTCTTGTAGAAAGTGGGATTTTAGCTGGGACTTGAAGGAAGTCAGAGACTCCAGGAGATGGAGATGAGGAGGAAGAGTATTTCAGGCATGGAAGACAGCCTGTAAACATTCCCAGAAGTGAGAGATGAAGTTTCTTGTTCAAGGAACACCATGAAAGGTAGTGTCACTGGGTAGCAGAGTCCATGGATAGGAGGGAGGCAGAAGGTATAAAAAAAAAACTGAAAAGGTCGGGAGGGTTGCAAGTTGTAAGAAAACTGAAAAGATTTGGTGGGGGGAGGTTATTCAGGGCTTTGAACACCAAAGACAGGATTTTATATTTGATCCTAGAGATGATAGGGAGCCTGGAATTTTTTTTAGTAGGAGAGTGACTGGTCAGATCTGTACTTTAGAAAGATCACTTTGTCAGCTGAGTAAAGGACAGACAGTAGTGAGGAGAGAGTTGTGGCAGGCATATCAATCAGCAGGCTACTGCAATAGGCTGGCTGTGAGGAGATGGGAGTCTGTACCACGGTGGAGGCAGTATCAGAGGGGAGAATGCTGTGAGGATCAGATTATACAATGGGTGTCAAGTTCTTTATAACTGAAAAGCATTATGAATATTACAAGTAGCAATCTGATCAAGTTCTTTATGCCTCAATTTTCCAGTTTGGAGAATGTAAATAATAGTAACTGTCCTACTTCTCACAGTGGTAAGGATGAATAAAATATCACATAAAAGTACTTGGAAAAGAGGAAAATCACTAAATAAATGCAAAGTATTTGACTTCCTACTAATACTTCCATTGCTGTTATTTCCAGGATTGTTCCTTGATGGGCTAAAAGATTGGTAGGATGGAAAAATTAGATCATTATGGAAGAAATGACAGTTTGAAAAGTGTGGGGTTTGAGAAATGTCTAGGCCAACAGTAACAAGGGTAGGGATAGATGATGGCAATGAGAAATGATTAATTCTGACCAGCAGATTAATCCCTCCCGAGTACCCTTCAAAAATTCCCCTCCTTTTCTCTTAGAAATCAGGTAAGTGGCACAGTGGATAGAGTGTTCGGTCAGAAATCAAGAAGACCAGAGTTCAAATACGGCTTCATACACTTACTATCTGAGTGAACCCGGAAAAGTCACTTAACCTGTTTGCCTCAGTTTCCTCTTCTGTAAAAATGAACTGGAGAAGAAATCGCTCCAGTATCTTTGCCTAGAAAACCACAAATCTTGTCACAAAGAGTCAGACATGACTGAAATGACTGAGTGACAACAACTAAATCCTATTTGTCCAACCCGTTGACCTTTAGCCTAAAGGTATTATACCATTTGATAGATCAAGAAACTAAAGTCAAGGGAGATTTGGTTCCCCCAGAGGCTGGCTGTATACCTATCCTATTATTTCCTACTCTATATCCACTCCAGATACCAGGGGAATATCTTCTCAACTCTTCGCATCTCTAAAGTCATATGATTCTAAGATGAAAGGCATGAGAAAAATAAGATAAGGGAAACTGATTCTCCAAATTCATAACCCTTCATTTACAAAATGATGTCAGTTGCCAAGGCTATCAGGAGAACCGTACTCCAAAAGGTATTTGCATTTTATTAGGTAGAATGGGCGATTCAAATTCCCCACTGGTACCTTGGCATCCTGACATCATGTCTAGCCATCCTGCAGCAAGGGATCGGTTTATCCAGCCTAGTTTATGTCCACTCTGGCTCAGTAGGATGACCACAGCTTTACCTCACAGAGAAGCCACTCCCCCTTCCCCATTCTCATCAGCATGGCAATCTTATTTGGCATCTCTGCCATGGAGAAGACCTCACGACTCTGCCCAGAGAGGGCCAAGGAGGAAGGCTTCTTGACTTGATTACATCAGGCACTATGGAGAGTGCAATGAGCCTAATGAGGCATATAAACGCTGGGATTACTTGAGCTGGCAGGGGCGAAGCACAGGAAAAAGCAAACAAAGCCGGGAAACAGGAGGAGATGCAGCAGTGAGGAAAACAGATTTCTCACATTTTATCTGTGAAATTGGAGTGGCATAAATTAGTTACATTAAGGAATTAAGTGTCAGGAATGGAGGTAATTCATAGGAATGCTAGAACTGCAAATGAAAATGGTATGCTGTGGTACAAGCGGGCATCTGGATTTTTTTCTCAGGCAATGTTAGGCTGCCCAGAGCAACCATGACTGCAGTGTTTGCTTCTGCTACCAGTAGAAACAATGGTAGGCAGAAAGAGGGAGGTGCCTTGATTATATTTCACCAGTGTTACTTTCTCCATACCCACCATACTCATTGGTTTAGGCACCTCGACAAGCCAAATCTCACTGGTTCAGAGTTTCTATAGACCAATCTCTCCCACTGCCAACCTTCCTCTTACCTTACTCCCAGATGAGCCCTGCTCATTGCCTCCCAGGCAAGAAAGCCACCAGTGACTTACTTGCCTTCTCTCTGCTCTCTTAATATAGCTTCAGTTAGAACAGTGGTTTGTAATCTGGGGTCTGTGAACTTTTCAGAGGGACAGACAGAGAAAGAGAAAGAAAATTTCACTCGGTTTCTTTGATGATCAAATATATTTTATGTTTTTAAATACATTATTATGAGAAATGGTCCATAAGTTTCACCAGACTGACAAAGGGGTCCATTACATAAACAAGGCTAAGAAATCTGACTTAGACCTTTGCTCCATTCTTTCAAGTGGCACCATGGGACTGAGAAGCTTGATCTCGAGAGTTTTAAAGATTCTTCCTGCAAACTTCCACTAGAGTAGTATGCTT